ATTATTTATTTAATGCTGTATTTATTTATTTAATTTTGGCACTTTTTATCCTCCATAGTGAAACATGATCTACAGGTTTTATTCAGAGGACACGATGCTCGTAGACAAGCCTCTGAATGACAAAGCACCTAAAATTGACGTTTTTTTCTCATTAAATGCCCCCCGCCCCCCCCTCGCATATGCCAGTCACATCTATGCTGTTTGGACGAAGGAACAGCTGGCGAATCACTGTGTGGTGCTTACATTTCAGCTGCTGCACACGCCCCTTTACACACACCCAGTCTGATCTACAGTATAATCAACACAACCAGCCACAACACTTCTGTCTAATTAGGTCTACTTTGTTCCAGTTGTAAAATTCACATCAATTCAATCTGGAATATGAGAGCAGCTGTTCAACGTGCGCACACATTTACCACCACCCACCCACACACAGATGTTTTAACAGAAATTTTACAAGGTTGAATTAAAGGTACACGTGTTAATGATCCTGCTGTGTCTAAGAAACATAGGTGCGTCTTCATGTGTGAAAAAGTGATATCCGTCTTACGTTTTGTTCTCCCCAGCCAGTCCATACGACATGAATGATATTTAGAGGCATAAAAACACCAAAGCTGAATGTTTTGTTTGGTGAATGTTTGCAGAACCCCCATCAGACTCCGTTCCCGGGTATGTGGCAGGAGAAGCTGAGCCGCTTTCAGAAAATGATGGTGATCCGTTGTCTCAGACCCGACAAGGTCAGTCGCCTTTCTGGATAATGCAATCAAATTCAGTTTGTTTATATGGCAACAAGTCGCAACAGATCTCATATCAAGACAATTTATAGAGATAGTTCAACCAGATCATTCAGGCAGATTGGTTCAATGTTTCTATCAGGGAGATAATGAGTTTAGGCCAAATGTTTGAGGTTCTGAACATCTTCCTCCAGATTGTCCCCATGGTGCAGGAGTTTGTATCAGACAATTTGGGCCAACCCTTCGTCGAACCGCCGCCCTTTAACCTGAGCACAGCCTTCGCAGACAGCCACTGCTGCTCTCCCCTCATCTTCCTCCTATCTCCAGGCTCAGACCCCATGGCGGCTCTGCTTAAATTCGGAGATGAGAAGGTATGGACCAGTCTTAAAGGAATAGTACACCCAAAACATGATTAGCCTTCATTTTCTACTGCCCAGCGCCCACGGCA